AACTCTTGGAGAGTACCAAATTTAATCAATAGTAATCAGAATTGAAAAGTATTTCCAAGCTGATTAAAATTAAAACTAGTTTGATAATATATGCATAAAATAATTATTTTTGTTAACATGCAAAGCCAGATAGTGAAGGTTTTTCTACTCATAGATACAAATATGGCAGCAATGAGAGTTCACTTCAGCAACAAAGAAGCTGTTCACGTCTGAAAGCAATCCTCTCCTTCTGACATGTTGGCACCATCATAGAGGAAAATGTCATGGTCAATATAAGCACATTTACTGACAGTTAGGTTTTTTCCTATGTTCCTGAAAACTGTTTGAAACTTGGCTTTTATCGAAAACAGAAACACTGGCCACTCAGAATGATAAAACAATAGTTTATGGCTTAGTCATTTTCCAGTTATAAAGCAATACTTTCATAAAAATAAACAATGCATACAGGAACAAGCCAAAACAATTACTCAGARAAATTGTTGCATTCTTGCTGTCCTTGCTCCCTGATTTAAAACAACTGTCTCCAGTAGGAACTGGACAAAAAGCAATGGGTTTTGTTTCATTAAGTAACTGCCTGCTGATCGCTACGAGATAAAATATRCTTCAAAAATGTAATTGATATTGTTTACATCCTTTCTGAATTCCTACATTACCTATTACAGGAAGAACAGGTACATAGATTAAAATAATGTTCCTGTATTTCACTAATTTACAGACTGAACATTTCCCTASTGGATAGTTATAAAGAGCTTTTGTCCTTTCTAGAGAAAGTAAAATGCTACTTTAAAGCACAAGCACYTTTATTAGTAAAGGTCATGTTGATTATTTAATTTATGGGAGTTTTTTAATTGTTTCTGGAGGRTTTTTTCCCCTGTAAATACTGTATTTTGATATCTGTATCATCATGACTTTACTGTTGTAGCTCAGTAAAGAAAATTATTTAACAATAATTTCAAGCAGGAACAGGTTACAAGTATAAATGCTCAAAACTCAGAGATTCGAGAGGTAAGGAGTCAATAAATCTGCTAACTTGACAGTCTTGCACATTCCAAGTAATGTGCTCAGATGTTTCAGTGCTAAAGGTAGTTTTTAAATTGTTCCCTGCTCTTTTAAACTCACACAAGTACTRTAACAGATGAAGAGCTTTTGCTCTATCATTCCAAGAAGATTCCTTCTGGTTCCTGTTCTGAGGGAAGATGATTTCATTGCCATGTCTCACAGTGGGTGGGACATGGGCTGCACCCCATCTGTGCTCAGGCAGTTCGGAGGCTGGAACACAAAAGTCTTTGAGACTCTCCTGGTTGTAAGAGCACCTGGAAACCTTGTGTAAGTTCTTCCATCTGGAGCAGTTACCTTGGGCTTCATTCTCCATCTCAAGAACTGCCATGTGTTGCAGCCTCACTCTTTCCAARCCCTGGAATTTTTGCTAGACTGCAGCAGATGAGACTGATGGCAGAGCAGAGCTGAGGGATTCCTCTTCTGCCCAAGTGTGTGGCTTCAAGTCTCTTTGTGTACAGAACATTAACTTAACCAGGTCCAAAAGCTCTGACTTGGTTGTGTCTGTCATGTAATGGAGCAAAGTCTCTTTGGCACCTCAGCACTCTCACTGTCTCRCTGGAACTGCCAGCACACTCAAAGTTAGATGATTTCTGTAGGGCTTTACTGAATCACAGTATTTATCAGGACTGTCACTACGTAACTGTCAAGCTTTCTGTGTGCCTGAAGAATTCCACCCTTTGGATGGATGAGACTGTGATGTCATCATAATTGCATTTTTATGTAAATTCTTGCTATAAAATAATTCTGGATTAAATGATGTGTTCCTTTCCTGTTGGCAGAATATAATTTGTCTTAAATGGCAGCAGACTGTTGTATCTGTTTTCCTGAAAGTTAAATATTTTGATTCCCACTTACAATTTATTGATTTTACATTGTTACCAAGTGGCATTCCAAAATCGTGGTTCAAAATCCTGTCATTCACATGATAAAGTTATTTTCATTTCTGCAGATGGGAGTGGCAAGGAAAGTGGAAGAGCTAGAGGGGGCAAATGCAATTTAGCAGGTAGCAGATTTGAAAGCAATCCTAATTTTTATTATYTCTGTATGTTCTTGAGGCAGTATTGCTTCTGTACTATTAAACAATAATAAATCMCAAATTGCAAGGCTGTTGTTATCATCTTGCCCTGCACTTGTTTAGAAATAGTAACTTGGGGGAAAAAAATCGTGATTCTTGTTGTGCAAACATTCCATGCACATAATCTAGACGAATTTGTGAGCACAAATTCAATATAAGGCAAGGCTTCTCAGCTTGGACAGAACACCTTATACAGAATTGCATTCACTAAAGCCAGAGTTGTGCTGGTTTCATGAGGTCACCTCTTCAACACTTTCTGTTTCTCTGCTGCTGACACTTTTGACACCCTTAATTTGCTGCCCTCACATCTGCTATAGCTAGTGCTGTAAGAGCTTAGTGTAGGTCAGAAAAAACCTTGTGTGTCTGTGTATAATAAAAATGAGAGAGGTGGCTTACAAGACAAATTACTGGTGTGTAAACTCACCAAATCCTTCCAATAATGCCAGTGTCTACAAAAAAAAAGTAATGTAAAAGACTACACAGCATTCACAGTACCCTTGCAAATCTTATAAGACACAACAAAGAATTCCAGAATATTGTAAAAGTGAAATTAATAGAATATTCTCTGTTGACTTTGTCCACTGCTGTTGTGTGCATCTTACTGATTTTAAAAGCTCTTAAGTTACAAGCAACTGTGACTTCCATAGCCATGTGTCTGCAATACATGATTTTTTCTTGTTTCTTCCTTTTTGTTTCTTTCTCTCCCACAAGCAAAATGGTGTTTTTCTCCCACCAAAGGACTGTATTTAAGTAAAAGGACAGTGCATAAGAATGGTATCACTTTGTGCACGTGTGCATACCAACACATATATACATTATTCAGCCTCCCATTCTATTTTCCTGGTGTGTATTTTGGTTCAGCCTTTCCCTCTGTCTTGTACAATGGTACCTTCCTCCTGGCATAGAAAAGACACTCATTACATTTTGAGCAGCAGAAAATAGTGGCATATCATGAAGCAGTAGCATCTGGTATAGTCAGTCTCTATCAGCACACGCCAAAGGAATGCTGTGTTCTGCTAATATATCTGATAGGCTTTAATGTTTCATAGGTTTTCTTAGCGTACAGTATTGCTGCCTTTCACTTTCTGTGATGCACTGCCCAATTGTCACATGCCCTTCTATTACAGAGCCATTAGGATTGAAGGCACCTTTAAGATCATCAAGTCCAGACATCCACCCATCACGACCCCTGTTACCCCTAAATCACATCACTCAGCACCAGATCCTGATGCCTCTTAAGCAGCTCCAGAGATGGTGACTCCCCCACATCCTGGGGCAATCTATTCCAATGYCTGACCATTCTGACATTGAAAAAAAAATTCTAATGTCCAGTCTTTGCCTGCCCTGTCTCATCTTTAGGCCATTTCCTCTTGTCCTCTGTGTAGGCACAATAGAAGAGACCAGTCCCCAYCTCACTGCAATCTCCTTTCAGGGGGTTGTAGAGGGCAGTGAGGTGCCCACTGTGCCTCCTCTTGAGACTGAATAAACCTAGCTGCATCAGCCATTCCTGTAAGACAAGTTTTCTAGACCTTTCACRAGCCTTATTRCCTYTCTCTAGACACACTCCAGCACCTCWRTGCCCTTTCTGAAGTGTGGGGCCCAGGAGTGAAGGCTGTACTTGACATGTGGCCTCACCAGTGCCAAGTACAGAGGGACAGTCACTGTCCTGGTCCTGCTGGCCACACTGTTCCTGACACAGGAGATGTCATTTGCCTTCTTGACCACCTGGGCACAGTGCTGGCTCAATATTGATGCTGTCMACCAGCATCCACCATCTTCACAGAGATATATACATACGCAAGAATTTCATTTTTCTATGCACTCTACATTTTTCAGGCTGTTGGAATTTCTGTTTGTTAACTGTCTCATCCTTTGATTACAGGTATTTTCCTCGTGGTTTTTTTAAGTACCTTTGGGTTTTGAGGGTATATAGGATGTCAGAATTCTCTGRAGTAGTCTAAGGTGTGTAGGTGGGCATAGAACACCTTCTGAGGAGCCTCTTAACCTTCGTGTTAGTGGGAATAGAACTTCCTACTAGTAAAATGCAAGATTTTTTATACGAGTGATACAGGATACAGTTATTCTCCCACTCAAAGCTAATGCTGTCCGACAGTTAATTGCTAGAGCAGGTAGCAGTAGCTGGCGTAGGTATTCCTTTGTRTACATCTGTCTGGACCAAAAGCAGTGGCAGCTGCAAGAGCCTGCAGGCTGAGTCTCTAAGGAACTCACAGAGCACCTTTGCTCTGAATCACAGTGAGATAGAGAAAACCTCATAATATTAGAAAACCTGTTTGTTTTCAGGGAATTCATTCCTGTACACRATTGTAGAATGCTGGAGTAGGGTGATCTGTGGCTTGTCTAGTTGTAATTTAAACTTAGGAAGCTGGGTTGCTGTAACTACTCTGGTCATAGATGCATGGAATTCCACTAAAAGTAGAGAAGTCAATTTGAATACTTGAAGAGAGGGGTTGAATTAAGTTTCTTTAAATTCATATCTGTTCAGGTCAAATTTTATACTGTTTCTCCCTCCTTTGTTAATTGTATTGTGTGGATTGTACTGCTACAACTTTGTTTTGCAAAGAAATGTTAAACTTGGTAAAGAGTTGCTATACACAGAACTCGTAATTTCTAGATATTTTAATGTCAAGCAGTTATTTAAATAAAAATATAAACAAGGTCATGGAAGAATGCAATTAAATGGCAGAAGCAATTTTTAAGACACCCAGAAGACAGAGCTATAGCCTTTGAGATTTCCTGGCCTTTACTTTGCAGGATCTGAAAAGCAAGCTCTCCTATCTGTATCTCAGCACTTTTATGTTGCCTTTCCAAGGAAAAGGGAGTTGGATGCGGGCCTGAGTTAGATCTCATGGGGCTGGTGTTCTGCACCTTAAATTACAATCAGATGTATTTTGGTTCAGATGAAGTTTTCAGCCTGCAATTGGTAAGAAGCCTAATTATTTGACCAGGTTACTATTTACGTAGACCACTGTAGAGCRATCTGTCATTTATCCAGTGCTGGCAACACGTTACTCTTGAAAGTTTTTTATTTTGTGTTTGGAACAGTTGTTTAAAAATCCATCTCTGTTCATTAACTGAAAAACTAAAAGATGGTAGAGATTGCTATGGAGATGAGAAGTTACATAAACTGTTCATTTTAATTCTTCAGAATGTAAAAATAGCAAAGAAGTTTGGATGTTTACAGGCTTCCAGTCATTCAGGGTACTGACTATCTCCACAACAGGCGTAAGATTCTTGTGCCCTTTGGACTTTGATTGTCAAGTAGCAAATCATGCCCAGATTTTGAAATCAATCGTGTATTTGTTAGACTGTAGAGTGTGCAGTAAGGAGAAATAAATATATACACTCTCAAAGTAATTAATCTGTAGACTTACATTATTTTTTCCAGTGAGAAGAATGCCTGAAATGATCTGATAACTGAAGTATGCAGGATTAAAATACAGATTTTCTGTGATTTAAAGACATAATCACATAGATAAAAGCTGGAAAATGACGCTGTTTCACTGTTCCACCTTTTGAAGTGTCATGRTGGTGAAGTTATAAATAGGACTGAGATGGTGTTTTATTTGTCAGACTCTCCTCAGGGTTGTTTATTACTGTGCCTTGGACATAATCTCTGGCCTTAAATTTCACATGTGCTGCTCGTGCTTGAAAATTGCYATTATTCACTGAATTTAGGGAACAGCTAGTAAAATCTTTCAGAATCATAAAAACAAAACATGCAAAATTTGTATAATTAGTGCAAAGTTTAAGCCTTGGTTAAATTAGTAGCTTAATGAAACTGTAGGGATCTTTAAAGGCTCCTGGAATGCATGTGGTTGAGGTAACCATCTGCAGTGCTAAATTCAAAATGGCAGCCTTGTTCTTCAAGGGTTGAAATCAGCATTYACAATTTAGTAGACAAGTAGTGATCTGTGGAAGTTGATACCTACTTGAGTAGAGTAAGTACAGAATAAAGTACTTTTGGGAGAAGGGGGCACATAAAATATCTATGTGGGAACTTGAAAACCCCTAGGTTTTTTTCTGCAAAACAGTAACAACTGCCACAACATCAGCWTATTCAAGTCCTTTCTTGTAAATGAGGTAATAATGTTTAAGGGATTTCATTTGTCTCCTAGCTGTGTGTAGGGCCATCATACTGGACTTTGGAATAAAGCAGCACAGTCTGATTGACTTTGGTACTATAAAGGGGCATTTAGAATTATAACACATCACATTTCAAAATATGAACATTAGTCTTAGCTGCCATGGGAAAGAGTACTCCATGGAAKGCAGAGGTACGGAATTACATTTCATTTTGAAAGGATGTGATTCTAAGCCTATGCAGATTCTTCATCACCTCTTTAATACCTTCATGGAAAGGTAGTATTTCCCAGAAGTTTTTATCTGTGCACGTGTATGATAAATGTGGGTTGGGAGAGACTTTATAGAAACAGCATGCTTCATGTGGTACCTCATCTAAAATTAGTAACATACATTGATTTGTTTTGATGCTTGCAGGGATTCTTCCTGACAGTGTCACCAGAAGCAGTATTAAAAGTGGCTGCTCAGGCTTCTGCCAGCAACAAGATCTTCAGCTTGAATCTTTCTGCACCATTTATAAGCCAATTCTACAARGAGCCTATGATGAAAGTCATGCCTTACGTGGATGTTCTTTTCGGAAACGAAACGGTGAGTCCTAAGAAAGTCATGCAAGTATTTTTATCTCTTGCACTTGAGTGTCAGAGCCTCAGGCTGGGCCAGGGACAGTTCAGGTTGGACATTAGGAAGAATTTCCTCACTCTAAGAGTTGTCAGATATTGGAACAAACTGCCCAGGGAGGTGGTGTAGTCAGCATCCCTGGAGGTGTTCCAAGGAAAATCTGGACATGGCACTTAGTGCTATGGGTCTAGTTGATGGGGTGATGATTGGTCAAAGGTTAGACTTGATGATCTTGAAGTTCTTTTCCAGCCTTGATGATTCTGTGATTTCTGGTGCACCTTTTTTTGTAGTGGGAATCTGACCATATGAGGTGTCACTAGAAAGTTAAATCTGTGGCCACTGGACTGGGATATTTTAGTAGATGTCAAAGATGTCACTTGATCTGTTAGAGGTTTACAACTTGCTCATTCTAGTAGGAAATACCCAATACAAGGTTTACAACTTGCTATTTCTGGTAGGAAATTCCCAACACCTTGGTGCTTTGTAGTAACTGTCCATGTGCATAATGTACTCACTATGAGTTTAACTCTGCTGGAAGAAAATGTTTGGAGGGAAGAAAACACAATGAGCTTCTGTAACTTGATTCCATACCCATAGTGCTGCTATTAATAGCATCTTCTGTGATGAAGATGACTCTTTGGGGAGAAGTGGGAGGAGAAAACGAAGAAACAGTTGCTTTAAAAGGTTCTCATTGATTTTATGGTGGATGGACTGGTAGTCCATCAAAAGAAAGCTTTTCTTTGCTCTCTTAAGTTGGCAAACAGATTGCATTAAATTCGGTCTGTAAGTCCATTTAATAGGCCAAATTAATTCAGATTTCACTCATCACTTTTTGATTTTTTTTTCACTTTAGAAAGTCATCTTAAATATGTATTAGTTTTCTCAGCAGGAAAAGGTTGAAAAAAACCTTGAAATATGTGACACACTTAGATAAAATGTGRGTTTCTCAAGATAACTGCATGAGTACAGGAAAATTATGGAAATGCAACTTAGTCCTGTCAGTGGTTATTCCTGATTATGAGACAGGGATTTACATGAACATGAGTCAGTTTTTAAACTATTGTCCACATGTCCACATAGGGTTTAGCATTGTTATAGAGATAAGACTTAAAAAGATATAAAAGTACTTACTTTTAAAACAAAGAAAATTGCAATGTTTTTCAATGCAGTGGGCTAAGGAAAACCATTTTAACTAAAGTTAACTATACAGGCACTTTCCAGACATGTTCTTGCTAGTCCAACTGTTATTTTTTTATGTCTTTTTATTAATGCAGTCCTCACAAAGATGGTCTTGAACATTTTTATTTAATAGCAGTATAATCTCAACACAAAAAATTGTATCAGATTTCACAAATTAAATAATACCAAGTCTAGTCAATTTTGGAGYAGAAGGGTTTCATAGAAACTTCTGGGATTAAAACTTGTGGGTGTTTTGTATAAATATTCCTCCACTGACCTATTAGAATAATTCATATCACAGTGGTTCATTAGGTGCTATTTTTCACAGGTTGATACTTTTTGTATATTTATGTGTTTTATAAACTATAACCCACTATACAGGTGACACTCCCATTTCAGAAATTTTATTCAGACTATGTTAATTTTGTCTCTGTCATTTCAATTTGTTATGKTATTATTCACCTGCTGTCATAAAATACTGTGTAGTGCTGATGTGTTCGTTAAAGTTAAAAGACTCCCTGCATTTTTTGTATATAATTTCTGAAGCATTTTGGTGTCTTTCAGGGTAAAAGATACTAATTAAACTTAAGTGATCATCCTTAAACTTGGTAGTATAATAAATATGCATACTTCAGAATACCAGCCTCTTTGTTACTTATAAAAATCATGAAACCCTGGTCATTTTTTAGTCTCAGCTTCCTGCTATATAAGCTGGCTATTGCTGTTTGGAGTTGTTGAAATGCTACTTGCAGTGGATTATTCTCTTGTCTTTCTGTGTGACCATGCTCTTGGCATGCTTTACTCTAGTTTTGAGCAGCTTCTGTGTCATCTCGTTGTCAGTATTTCTCCTCTCTGTATATGGTTTCTGATAAAGAGTAGTTGCAAAACTCAAAGCCCAGTCTGACATCTTCTGCCTTCTAGTAACTTCCTCCCTTGTTTTTGGTGCTTTTTCTTTCCTCTAATTTCAGCTACCAGCACATTCAGGCATTTTTTTTKTGTGTGTTTGTGTATSTTTTGATRGGCCATGAACTACTTCAGCTAGCCAACACCAAATCTTTGYCCATTTAATGTGATTTCCTATTGCTTTTTGCTGTATTTTCCATAAGTGTAAGTGCATAAGTTAACAAACAAGCRAGGCATAGTAAGTGGCATGGTTGTTACTTCATTAGTTGAACAATACTCTTAGACACAATTTTTATTCTTCCCTATATTTATCTTCACATTATAGTCCAATAAAATTCTATTGTTAAGCACTGAGCTGTTTATTTTTTGAGTAATACAAAAACATCCAAGTGCAGCAAAATTCCAAATTGCTGCCATTCCTAAACTAAAAACAATTGGCAAAGTGATTTTAAATTACATCTTCTACTTAAAAATTTACATCTGAATGGAGATTGGTTATTTCAAGTTTCAGCCAGATGGTAATTAAAATGGGCAAGTTATAAACCTCTCAGAATAAATGTTCTAGTTTAGAATGTAAATGCCAGCATACCCCTAACTGCAGTTTAGACACTGAATGCTGCAGTAACATGTATCAATTTCAGCATTAACTCTGTGACCACTGGTGTTTTGATAATTTATTTAAATCTCATTTAAACCTACCTAAACATCTTGTCTTAAATCTTTTATATTTAKTAACGGTACTTCATATAATAAATTTAGTGCAGAACATTCAGAAAAGGAATAATTGTCTGGTCATTGCAGCTAACCAAGTAGGACCATTCTGCAGTCATTATCTAGCAATACATGACTGGAGAACTTGATTATTGTCATTGCTTTTAATTTTTATTAAATTAAGGTTTTTTTAATAGTGTCATTTTGCAAATGGTTCTTAGCAGTAATACCTTCCAAGCTACCATAATCACTGGATAATTAACCTGCCAGGATTAAGCACACTCTACTTTGCCTCAGGATGCTTAACTCTCAAATAAGGTCAATTATCTCCTGATGATAACTGCTTTGTCACAAGTTGCTGCTTAATTCAGCTGTAAAAGCTCACCTTAGAATACATATTTTACAACTCAAAGTAATTTCRGTAACAGAATGGTCAAAAGAGTGAAAGCCTTGGAAGTGGCATCYTTTCACAGAGTTGTAGGAAGTTTCCTACACAGCAATTGTTAGGTAAGTAAAGGAGACTAAACTTGTATGTATCTCTTTCCGTTTTCCCAGTTATGGCTAAATCTTGATGTGCCAGAAATGCWTGACCTAGCAAAGTCAATAATGGGCATTGAATTTCCAATCTCCTGAAAAGATATGAGTTATAATGGCATCTCCTCAGGGAGGGAACTACCTTTAGGGGAATGGTCGGTGTATTTTTGCATATGCAGCTGGATAGCAGTTTCTTCAGAATTTAAGGGACACTGCAAGGCTTTCATATGATTGATTTTTGCATATGGCACCAGTTCATGACTTAAAGGAATATTTATTGATATTGATGTGTTAAAAATCGTCTGGATTCTTTTGCTATGTGTAGACAGGACACCACTCAAAAAATTTAGAATTTAAAAACTGGTGTTACAGATACACTGAGCTCATCTAGTGCTTTACAGCAAAAAACATAAGCCAGTGATATAACTTGAGGTACCCCATGTACAGCGATCAGTAGAAGCTGAGGAGGTCGTGTAGAAGAGAAATTGTGAATTTTTTAGAAGAACAAAATAATAAAGAAAAATAAGATAACAATTATTCTTGGAAAATTGATCCTCTTCCTCTCTAATGTAAAGAGCCGTTGCTTCTAAACATCCAGTCTCTGAACAAATTAATTACAGGATTATAAGCTGAAGTTCTGCAAAGACAGAGCATCTGCGAGCTCTTTGGGAAATTGCTGCTGGTGTGTGTGACAGCAAATGYGCTGAAAAGAAAGCAGGTTGTGTGCAAGATGTGTACATTTTAAGAAGAATTGAGAATAGGTTTAGTGGTGGTTCTGGAGATAGGAATAGTGAGTGTTAAAGAGATGAGTGCGTTTGAATGGAATAAGATATCAAATGGGTCTTGTCATCATTTCCTCTTCACCATTCTACAGGAATGGTACGTTGTGCCTCCTTTATTTGAAGTATTTTCAAGTGAGCCATCAAATACTAACAGAAAGATCCCTACAAATGTAGGTGGTTTGGACAGCAACTTTTAATGCCCTTTGTAAGCTCTTACAAAGTCAATGACATGGAAAATTCTCTTTAATGGCAAGGACAAGCAGTAAATATMAAACTGAGGGTTTGGTTGGATTTTGGTGAGATTAACATGCTCTGGATTTTGAGCTTGCAGGCAGTCTGGAGTTTTGTGCTTATTTTAACTGCGGGAGCGAATGGAAATACTTCTTAGTTTTCTGGCATAAATTGTGTTCAACAAACTAGGATTTACACCTAAATGACAGTTTCCAAACAARTTTGTCTATTCCCTGGCTGTAAAATTTCACTCCACATAGTTTTATGTAATACGTTAAGATACGACACTGAGAACAATCTTCAGTTCCACCTGCAAATTTCCTCTGCTGCATTATCACGTGGGATCAGATTGATACATACAGGCTTAGGAATCTGCCCACAGTCCACAGGAATCTTGAATGAGACATAATCACTTTTGTAAGATAAATGAGACTCATGGTGATTCTTTTCAAATTAGTGTGCATTCATAATAGCATAATTCAGTTGGTTTAAATTTACAGTGTGCAATTCCGACTCTTTCTAGGTGCAGCAGATAGCTTTCCACAGCCAGTATGTCCTTTCGTACTGGTGAGATGTCTGAGTTCCACAAGACTATTAAGAAGTAGTAGTCGGGAAAAAATCAGGTGRCAG